ATATTATTATTATTATTATTTAAAAACATTAAAATAATTAAAATATTATTTTAAGTTATTTAAGTTACGTAATGCTACTGAAAGGCTCTCTACTCAATTAAAAAATTAAATAGTTCATTTAAAATTATCAAAACCATATGAAAGTATAAAAAATAGTTTTCACTGATTCATTTTATTTTATTTATTTTATCTTATTTGTTCACCATTTAACAGTAACGTATGTTGCCACTTACAGAATTGAAACAGAATTATAAATATCTATATATATATATACATATATATATATATATATACATATATAATAATAATAATAATAATAATAATAAAATAAAAATACTTAATTCAGTATTAAGACAGTTCTACTAAAAAATCCTTAATATTTGCCTGCCAGGAATACAGCAAATACTGATCACTGTCTGTAAATTGACAATGATATTTTTTCACAAAAAATTGTAATAGTAAATTATAAGTTAACAACTGTGTCTGAGATACGGTACTCGTAATCTGTCTTCGAGAATTTCTAAACGTTTATATTCTTCAGAATCAGTACTTAATTTAGGCGACATACAATTGCTACAAACAACACATGTCATATCATATGTCATATAATTGTACTGTACTGTATAACCAGATTCAATTTTACTGTACTTTTTTATATATTTTGAGAGAACATGCTATACATAAACAGCATAATCAATTAATTTTCACACTTTCTTGACTGCCAAGGCCAGGCCTATTTAAGAGATTTTAGCATACGCCGTAGCATTTATCCACGCATTAGCGCTGCAGTTTACTGGATACACCAATGAACTATTATATATGTTTCACCATTCACAACGGGCGGTCGGGCATGCATATTTATGTGTATCAGTTTACAAAACAGACCTAACATTTCTCAGCCAGTAGACCACTTAGGCCTACGATACCTGAAATACAAGTTACGTTCATCGTCCTTGTATACAGGTCAAACCAAGGTCAAACAGCTGATATTTAAATAACTGACACTAGATGTATTGTTTGATTGGTATTTTAAAATAAAATACGGACTCGTATTCATCGCACATTATTATTTGCAAAATATAAAAAATTTAATTCGTCGCAATGTACTTTCGTAATTTCTCTATAAAGTTTAGGCAGTATGGCGTGATGTTGAGAGATCATTATAAGAACGCGTTGCAGGAAGTAGATATACACTATTATAGCGAGCATGTGCAAAACAGTTTACTTCATCGCAATTTGAACTTTTGATGTTCGGTTTGAGATGTAATTTCACTGCTCCCAGTTTTACCAGTTATAACTATTATTTACATGCTCTTCAAACTTTAAATAATTATCAACAAGTACAATGAAAATGACAAAAACTTTATTTCTTATTCGACCCCTTTCGTTGTATGCGAGAAGAGTCTTTCTAATGTGAACATACAAAATAATCGGTCAGCTTACACTGCTTGACTAATAAAGTTTAACAATAATAATAATAAGTTTAAGTAAAAACAATATTTTAGCCAAACAAACACGATATCTTGTGAATATATTGAGCATGTTTCGACAGTTGTTTTTTGATCTGGTATTAAATAATTGGTGGATTTTATTTTGATTAGGTCTAATGTAATAATATTTTTTAATACATCCTTAGTGTAGGGCAAACGAATAGAAAATGGAATTATCTCCGGTATCATTTCGATTACACAGAGTACAATTTGTAGCGTGATCATCACACCTATAAAGATCAGTTTTTGTTTTTTTTATCTAATAATGTTGTTAATGATTGTTCAAATATGAGATCACACTTAAAGGATCTATAATTTTCACACATTCTATTTGTGTTATTAACTTCGTGTAGCCAATCCTGTTTTTAGATAACAATCAATCGGTTAATACTATTTGCTATCAACTTTTTATGCAAATTATCATAGTCATTCCACATTTGGGGCATGCCACATTTGTTAAGAGTGTTTTTTTTATTTTTTTAAATTTTATTAGTCCATTTTCACAGGTATAAACTCATGGTCGTGTAATTTCTTTACAATCTAAAGATAATGTTTGACAGTTTACTTTGTTCATCATCAATGACAAGCATCCAAAAAGTTAACATTATATTCTCTACTATTAATTACCATTACAAGTATTTTATCATTAGTGGAGTAACCGTCCCTAAATCCTACTTGCTCTTCACCAAGCTCTACACCAACATTATATTCTACAGTACCATCCAGATATTATCTACCCTTGCCTGCGTTATTTCCGCGGAAAATATTCGTGGAAAATTCGAGCACCCGTATTCAGCGAGTGGTCCATTACGTAATTGTTTAGCATCTATTTCCTGTTAAAAGTCGGAACTCGCGGTATAAGTGCGGTCCACGTTGGACAGCGAGTCAGAAAAGTTGATGGTAAAGTATTACGTAATTCGCGGCACGCCCGATCTCTCTATTGTCAGGCGAACAATGAGCGAGTTGGTTTTGAGATGTAAAGTTATTTCGCTAATAGTCGGTAGTGCAGGTTATAAAATTTAAAGAATACTGTGATATACATATTTTTTTTCGGAACTGTAACTTACTTCGGAGGTATAAATAGGCTCGTATAACCACCTAAAAAAGTATTTTTCAATTTATGTACAGCGTTACTCTTTATTATCTCTGTAGGATCGGAAAACAAAATATACGGTATATAGGCTATTATTGTATCAATAAAATATCTAAGCAAATATAGGTCAGAATAACCGATGTATTTTCTTTATTGAAGGTTGGTTACTGCTACAATTACTATCAGCAAGGTCGCTTCAGTAATCAACTGAAAAATGAAATGAAGTTTTTAAACTTGTTAAGTTAACATACAGTACTGTATTTATTTTGTAGTTTTGAAATAAAATCTATGACCAGAATATTTTTAAACCGTGTTTGTACTTTTATTACTGATAAATATCATAGGCCTTCATAAAAAACAAGAAATACGTTAATGGCGTGTACTACTGTAGTACATTTACTCAGTTGTGCTTAAAAATTCGGAAATACGGTCTTAATTTTATTTATATAGTTATAGTCTCGCTGGGTGTAGGAAATAATTTCAGTAGGAAATAATTTCATTAACAAAGGAATGTTCCATTTTAGAATAGGGGTGTTGTTTGATACATAAAGGAAGAGCCATAACACACCCAGTTAATCCTACTCATATGGTAATTACTTGGTGTTCATAGTATAAGTAGTGAAGTACAGTACCAGTTATTCATTGTACTAAGTTAATAATTAGTTTAGATTGTATTTATTCTAAATTTATCTAAATCATCAGTTATGTTGTTGTAATTTTGTATTTAAGTATCATCATAGTACATGAATAATATAATCTGGTTAAGAAGTTGTATTTATTTAAATAAATAAAAACTAAATACTTGTATTTAGTAATACAAGTATTACTAAATACAATTTAGTAATACTTGTATTTATTTTTATTACATAAAAGTTTAAATATTATAGTACAGTTAAACTTTAACAATACAACATAAGAATTTAAAGACAATATCAAATATTTCTTATTTATTAACTAGGCAAAACATCTATTAGGTTAACTGTATTTTTTTCTGCCTACGTTTCACTTTGACAGTAAATACCTTATTTGTTTCCGTAAATATACTAAGCATTATAGTACATACAATTCACTATTTTTTTTATTGCAGTATTAAATAAAATTTAATAATACACTACCTGTACTGTCTCTTACACCCCTCTAGATGTGCATAAGAGACAGGTCTAGCACCGGCGACGGATCCTTCAAATGTCTGCCCTATCATCTTTCGATGGTACGTTATGCGCCTACCATGGTCGTCACGGGTAACGGAGAATCAGGGTTCGATTCCGGAGAGGGAGCTTGAGAAACGGCTACCACATCCAAGGAAGACTGGGTGTGTTATGGCTCTTCTTTTATGTCTTAACCAACACCCCTATTCGAAAATGGATCATTCCTTTGTTAATGAAATTATTTCCTACTGAAATTATTTCCTACTGAATTTATTTCTGATTTCCAGTCTCGCTATGTATTATGATTCATTCATTGTGTAGTGTAAATATATTTACTATCATTTAATTGCGTATTTACACAGGAAACAATGCAATGGTTAGCTTGGCCTGAGTAAGTATAACAGGCAACAGTGAAGTTGGTATAAAGAGTAGGCCTACGTTTTAACGATAAAGTACGGTAGCTAGGCAAGTAGGCTAAAAATAGATGAATTGCCTAGACTATTGTTCCAAACATTACAGGCCAAGGTATAGGCCATGCATAAAAACAATAAAGAAATATTTTAAGGAAAAGGAATAGTTAATTCATAAGTTATCTCTCTGTAACAGGCAAAAGCCTAATATCAAGTTACTAGTACTGCAGGTTGCCTAGTAACGGTGAATTCAGTGAGAAACGTTCATGTAAGTAGGTTCCCACGATACTACAGTATTCAGAAGGAGAAGCAAATACGAGGTTAATCACCTCTGATTTTCTTTGAACGCCGCCAACTCAGGGAATGTAGACACGCGCTGCTGCTATGGAGCAGTACAGCATGGATATCTCCATGAGTAAAGTAACCGGCTAGATATAGACAGAATAGGGACCACTGGAAAATTCTTATATTGAATTTACTTTACGAAATTCATTCCCCCATAATTTTTTGGTAGAGTCCTCGTTTAATTGAATGCTTCACAGCAAAACGTGTGCTTTTGATAGAATGTAGGACATAAACTAGACTGGGTTCCAGTCCCTAATCTTTGTCTTAATCAGTTGAAATGCTTAAGAATAAATCGATTTTGGCACAAATGGCGTTCCATATTACTTATTTGCATGGCGTTCCATAGTATACTTTTTCTGGGATTAGCATCAAAAAAGTTTCTCAACATAAACTGACGCTGGTGGCGCTTTCCGAAATGCGCTAATGTACTACGAAAAATCCATAAATTAGAGACTTGTGGCAAGTCTAGACATAAACAACCCAGGACATAAAGCACCTGGACGTAAACCACCCAAACTGGAATATACCATTGTGAAAGTAGAGTGTGCAGTGGGGTGGACAATGTTGGGTGGGCCTGTTTTTATCACCTTCACAATAGGATAGATTACACTGTGACTGTGACCTATTATACGCCTTTAATTCATTCAACTCTTTTGACAACATGCATGTATGTTAATAATCATTGTAGATTTTTCCTGATTTCAGTAATCGCTGTGCTTAAAGTTTGTATTTTCCTAATGATTTTAACACAACAAGTTGTATTTTTCTAGTGATTTTAACACAACAATCAACTTCAAAGTTTAATGGAAATTCAAATACATTTAATAATATTAATAGTTTGAATTTAAAAAGTCATATTTTGTAGTAAAGTTTTAATATGATTAATTTAATAACATTTTTTTCTCTCTTGGTACGTACGGTATTTGTCTAATATTATAGTATTCACAAGGACTTGTCCCTACTTCCTTTAAATATGATTTAATAATAATAATATAAACAGTCATATCCAATAATTCCTTTAAATATGATTTAATAATAATAATAATATAATAATAATAATAATAATGATAATAATAATAATAATAATAATAATAATAATAATAATAATAATAATAATAATAATAATAATAATAATAA